CCAGCCATAACAACAGAAGCCTCGTCTGAAGATGTGTCTTGGGTCATATATCTGTTTAACAGACTCTTAATTTTAGGATGCCTGCAGGATACTCCTTATATATATCTGTAAGCAAAAGTATCCATTGATGAGTTTACCACTAGAATAACAACTTCAACTCTAATTTATCTAAGGAAAAAAAAAAGATGAAACTGACTGATGTCTACATGGTATGATTGACCATCCATACAGTACAAGCAAACAGAATTTAAATAAAAGTTCACAAATGAGAAATTTATGATCCACTATTACCTTCCTTCAATATATCCAACTCAGAACTTACAGGACGAACAATAAAATCCCACCAAACCATTCATGCACATTTAAAATCATTAATTTATTCCACACAGAAAATTACCACAGCTTCCTCCGTTAAGACAAGAGGTTACCATCTCAAGAAAACAGAATGTAAAACACAAAAAGAAATTTACCTATCTAGAGTTGGCGATGGCTAGAGAATGGGCCTCCAGAGAGCAGAGGCCGTCTCGGCCGTCGATCGGCTGGCACTCCAAATCCTCTTCAAAATCGCTCGGCTGTGTCCGCTTCGAGACTGATTCGAAATTTCAACTGATCGGAAAATATGGGGAAAGGAAACGATTGGGTCCACACCCCCTTTTAAGAAATTTTCATTTTTATTCAGTAAAACGCACCGTTCAAAGGCAACCAAACCAAAAGGAGAGGATAAAATATGATATGAAGAGATTGATTGGCAAAAATCACAGAAGGATCAAATTACAGTAACAAAATACACGAGAACTGCATGCAGAGCAGACAGATCAAATCCAAAAGAAATCAACACAAATTCATACATAACCATAATTCCCACACAAGTCAATACAACTATATATCAACAATGAACATGAAAATGATGGAAACAAACTCAAGAAGTAACTGTTGCCAGATCTCTCTGGAGTAGGAAATCAACCGCACTTGCTTGCACCTCAAAAATATAAAGCAAAAGTGGAAAAATTAAGTGTCACTATTATATAACATGCCTTGATTTTTATGGTTAGAACTTATATATTATACAGAGTTGTAGAAACTTACTCACTTAAGAGCATTGGTTGGGTTTTTGGATTTTTCTCTGCTTACGACTTCGATTGCACCTCCCAACCAATTTCTGTTGATATTTTTCCACTTTCTTCACTACCCACCATGGTTTTCCTGTAGTGAAGGCAATGTATCCCAGACTAAGTCCCAACACCAGTCCACACCCATAGCCTGCCAATGCAAACTTCCACTCAAAGACTGCTATAGAGTCATCTTCTTCATCAAATTGTGATGAAGGTGGTCTTGGTTCTTCGCATTTCTTTGTCAATGGGAATCCACACAACCCAGAGTTCCCAATGTAGGAATCATTTGAGAAAGTACTAAACTGCTTCCCTTCAGGTATGTGGCCCACAAGTTCATTGTGTGAAAGATTCAAAACTGATAGGAACGTCAGCTTTGTCAATTGCTCTGGAATCTTGCCTTCAAGCTTGTTTGATGAGAGATCTAATGACTCGAGTTCTGCTAATTTCCCCAATGATGACGGGATTTGACCATTGAGACTATTGTGAGATAAGTTTAGCAATATAAGTGAATTGAGTTCTCCCAGCTCTTCAGGAATCGCTCCATGAAATTTATTGCTCGAGAAATCTATAGTTGTGAAAATTATCAAGATCCTTGTAAGATCCACCAGTAACCCTTTCATTACAACCTTCACAGAATCCTTATAATCATTGTCAAGAATTCGGCAACCTGCAGCTGCCATACATGGCACATATTTATCAATGTATTCCAATTTGACTTTATCAGTTGGAGCTACATCTCTCATACCTTTCAAAATTTTGAAATAGTTACTCGGTAGGAGACCCATAAAATCATTCTGTGCGACATCAATGATTCTTAACTGAGGGAAGTAAAATGCAGGCACAGAATTGCTGATGGCACCACGAAATCTATTAGATCGAAGGATGAGAACTTTTAGCCATGGAAGCACACCTAACCAATGTGGAAAGGTATCATTCAAGTTGTTGTTCCCCACGTCTAGAATTTCCAAGTAACTACAATTAACCAAAGACCGTGGCAGTTTCCCTTCCAACTGGTTGCCATTTAGGCTGAGAGTTGACAAGAAACTGTTGTTGACAAATAAATTTGGAATCCTACCATAGAACTTATTCATCCGCAGATCCAAGATGGTGAGATCACTCAAGTTTCCAAGACATTCTGGAATATTTCCTTCCAAACTATTGTTAGCTAAGACTAGAACCGCAAGAGAAGTAAAATTACAATAAGAAGAGGGGATTTTGCCAGTCAAATTATTCCCTGAAATGAGGAGTTGTTGCATAAAATGCCAAGTTGTTGATAGAATGGGAAGTGATCCTTGTAGTAAGTTCGATCTGAGGTCAACAGTGTTAAGAAATCCAAAACCAAATAGATCTATACCAGTCAAGAAGTTATAAGAAAGGTTTAATGTATCCAATGACATCCCTTCTATTTCCCATCGGTGAATTTGACCAGAAATCTTGTTCTTGGAAATATCCAATTCGGACAATTTCTTTGCCTTCCTTAAGAAACTTGGGAACTTGTGTATGTTGCAAGAAGAGAATATTAAATACATAAGGTTTGGAAGAAAGGAATAGTTGACAGCAGTGCCATTATTGCTCAAAGACAGCAAACTATTATTGGAAAGATCAAGAACCTCAAGGTCTACAAGCTTTGAAAGCATGTCGGGTGTAATGGTGCCACTAAAATTATTTGAAGAAAGGTCGACTTTAAAAAGATGCACAAGATCAAAGAAGAAGCTAGGAATTGAACCGCTTATCTCATTATTGGACAAATAGACTTCTAGTAAAAAGAGATTGGGCATCTCAACATGATCAATAGGTCCGGTAAGGCAGTTGTTTTGGAGGTCTAAATAGGATAAAGAAGGCAAAGAAAACAACCAAGATGGTACACGACCTTTGATGAAATTATTATCCATTCGAAACTCATGTAAAAATGAGAGTCCACTTATATTGTGAGGAAGAGGCCCTCTTAGCTTATTTGATGACAGTCTCAAATAAGTAAGATTGGTGAGGTTGAAGATTGATGTAGGAATTTCACCATCAAAACTGTTATTAAAAAGGCTCAAATGAGTTAGCTTGTGCATTTTTCCAAAAACATCTGGAATTGATCCATAAAATTGGCAGCATTCAAGATTCAATAATTTCAGGAGTTTAAGATTTCCAATTGAATGAGGCAACTCTCCTGAGAAGGATGTGCTTCCAAGATTCAAATACTCGAAGGTACTACTCTGGTTTGACTTGGGCAAATTACCTTCTAAATCAAAGTTGTAGCTTAAATCAAGAAGCTGGAGAGATGGAAGCTGAAAAACTTGGCTTGGAAATTTTCCTTGCAAATTACAAGAGCTAAGGCTCAGATGCTTCCAGGAAGAAGTCAAGTTTAGCAAGGAAGATGGCACAACCAGAGACATATTCATAGAATCAAGGATAAGAAACCTTAATTCTGTTAAGTTATGCACAAGCATTTGAAACTTTATGTTGTCAAGAAGCAAACCAGAATTCTGGGAGAGATCGAGTGAAACCAATTTCGTTAGCTGAAAAACTTGGTTTGGAAAGTTTCCTTGCAAATTACAAGAGCTAAGGCTCAAATGCTCCAAGGGAGAAGTCAAGTTTAGCAAGGAAGAAGACACAACCAGAGACATATTCACAGAATCAAGGATAAGAAACCTTAATTCTGTTAAGTTATGCACAAGCATTTGAAACTTTATGTTGTCAAGAAGCAAATCATCATTATAAGAGAGATCAAGTGAAACCAATTTCGTTAGTTGAAAAACTTGGTTTGGAAAGTTTCCTCGCAAATTACAATCATGAAGGCTCAAATGCTCCAAGGAAGAAGTCAAGTTTAGCAAGGAAGAAGGCACAACCGGAGACATATCCACATCCACAGAATCAAGGATAAGAAACCTTAACTCTGTTAAGTTATGCACAAGCATTTGAAACTCAATGTTGTCAAGAAACAAAAAATAATTACGAGAGAGATCGAGTGAAACCAATTTCGGTAGCAAGAAGATCTCATCAACCGGGAGAGAGCTATACACCGATATTGAATCTGTCAGGTTAAAGATTTGTCACATTAGAAGAAGTGAAACCAGTTTTGGAAGCATGGAGATTTTAAACAGAAAAAGAAATGAAATCTCGTACCTGAAAGATTAAGATATATTAAACTCTTCCAACGGTCAAACCCAAAAGGGAGAT